ATGTGCCAGCAGGCCCAGCTCCCCTACTCTTTGTTATCCGGACACTTGTCACTGGGTTCAGGACCTTCCCTGTGCCCAGGAAGACCTCATCTGGAGATCCAGTGCCTAACCCCACGGGTTCAGGCTCCTTCAGGAGAAGGGCCATTCCTGGTCCTGGGGCACACACTTCAGCAGAACCGGGGGTGGGGTGCTCTGATGCCAGGGGCCCTGTCACCCTTGAGGCAGGCAGCACACCTGGGCGGCTGCACCCCAGGGCCACCATGGGTGACAGGAAAGCAAAAGCAGACACGTGGTGCATAGGTGGAAACGTGGAAATAAAAGCTAGCACACAGCTGTCACAGCAAGGTGTACCCTAATAGCAGCCCTCTCTTCTGACCTTGGGCTTGCCTTTCTTTTTTGGAACTACTGGAGATTGAATTCAGGAGCTTTGCACTGAGCTCTATCTCAGACCTTTGTATATTTTTGTTTTGAAATAAGGTCTTGCAAGGTTACCCAGACAAGATTTGAACTTGTGATCCTCCTGCCTTGGCCTTCCAGAGTGCTGGGATTACAGGCATGAGGCACCACAATGGGCTAGAGTTACTTCTCTTGAGGCCCAGAACCTTTGTGGATAGCTCAGTCACCTACGGAGCTGGAGGAGGGAGAAGCTGCAGGTCCAGTCCCTATTGGCTGGGCTGGTGGTGGTGAAGCTGTCTTGTGGGGGTGGGGCAGGTTGGGGAAGGACAAGGCCTGACCAGGAAGCCTGGAACCTGGGGCCCTGGCCCGACAGCTCTCAGCACTTGTGGCTTCATCCAGGCTCAGGGATGGGCACCAGCACCTCTGTGCTGGACTGGGCTGACTGCACCCCATCTCCTGGAGTGCAGGAGTGGCTCCCTGTCATCTCTCTGAAGAAGCTGAGGCTCACAGGGGTAAAGTCACTGCCCGAGTGCAGGCCGGTTGGGACTCCCAGGCTGGCCTGTCTGACTCCAGACTGCTGCTTTATGGTCATGGGCACAGATTGGTGCCGGGCAAGGCTCAAACCCAGCCCTGCCACCTGCAGGCTGCATCCTTGACCTCTCTGGGCCTCATCAGGAAAATGGAGCCACTCAGGGTGACCTCGAGCAGCATGGTCATGAGCCTCAAGGAGCTCTCCTTGACCAGCACTCAGCATAGCAGCTGGCACTGGCTGGGCATCCAGAAAGCAGCAGCTGTCCTTGCTGTCCTCCTGGGGTGTCCTGCAGGGTCAGCCACAGCCTCTGCACCCCCCTCTTCTGGATCTGCGGGGAGTAGCACCTGCTACCTTTTGTGGAGGTGAGGGGGCTGCCTGAGCATGGAGGTGCAGCTGGCAGTGCCCTGGCTGCCGTCTCCTCCACAGGAGCCGGGAGCCAGGCTTTCTCCAGGCTGTGGCCGTGCAGGGCCGACTAGAAGTTGGGGCTCCTCCAGAAGGTGGGGGAGGGAGGGACCCCACATCTGCAGAGGCTTCCCACAAGCAGCCCACTGGGATAGGAGGTGCTCACTTCGGTACCCACCGGAACACCCTTAGCTGCGCCCCACTCTTCCCCTGCCCTCAGTTGGCCCACAGTCCGCCGTGCACCTCAGGGAGCGAGGGGCGCGTTTGCCCTGCAGTGTTCCTGACCTTCGAGGAGGGCCAAGTGGAGGCTGGGTCCCGGGTGCCAGCCTCCCCAGAGCGGACTTGGAGGGGCAGGGTTCCACTGCCCCAGGCTTTGGGGAGCAGAGGGGCAGAGTGATAGATGCAGGGACTCCCAAGGGTCTGTCCTCACCTGGGCACCTGGCGGCCGGTCCAGGGGTGGCTCTTGCTGGCTTCGTCTCCTGTCCCCAGCCTGGCCATGGGCTCCCTCAGGAGAGGGCTGGCCCCCCTGGGAATGAATGGCCTTAGTGATGGGTTCCAGAAACCTCTGCCAAGCCACAGGGGCCAGTGGGAAAGGGGAAATCCATCCAGCTCCCGTTCAGCCACATTAGGCAAACAACTGAGCCATTCAATCGAAAGCCAGCGTGGAGCTGGCGGCCGGGCAGGGTGGGGGTGGCTTTCTAGTTCTCAGCTGTTCTGGCATTGGGTTGGTAGCTGTGGTGTAGCCACCCCCCCAGAATGGCTCTCATACTTTCCTCCTTTCAAAGGTCCCCATCAGCAGGAAGTGTCACTAACCCACTTAGAGCAGCCCAGACTCTGGGCCAAAGGAGGGCCAGCTATCCCTGTAGCATCTCAGAGCTGCCTCTTTCCCAAGGGTGTGGCTCCCAGCAACTGGGGCTTGGGCTTGGCCTAGGAGCCTTGAGAGATAATTTGATGCAGGCATTCAGAAACTTATTAGGGGAAGATGTTGTCTCTGACAGGAAAGTGTGATGGCCCCAGGTGGCCCTCCCTCCTCGTGGCCTCTTCTGAGCTTTGGGCGCCCACTTCGAGCCAGCCATCCTCCCCTCCCCTCCGTGAGGCTCCCTTGGCCCTGCCTGGTGGCCTTTCGGGGAGCCAGGTCTCTGGGGGCTCCAGACTGCAGAGCCCTTTCCCAAGGCGGGGCGGAGAGCCATCTCCACAGGTGGGCAGCCATCCCCACTTTAGACGGGGAAGGGGGGCCGCAGCAGACTGGGGGAGCATCCCTCCCTCTGCACCCTGCCTGTGATTGGCCCATAATTACAGGTTTATTGCCTGTACAGCTATTGTGTAATGACATGTTTGCAAATTAATTTTTATGGCTCCTGCCATTAGCATATACAGTAGAGGAAGGTTTAGTATTAATTACTACTGTTGTTCGTGTAATCCTGGAGAATTAAAAACCAATAAAAGAGTGACAACAGAAACTGACAGTTTAGGATCTTTTAAAAATAGTTTTATTCCCCCCCCAAGTTGAATCAGATTTTCCAAGGTTGTGAGGAGTCAAGGAGTGGGGTGGTAGCTCATCCTTCGCCACCACCCCGGGAGGGGCGCAGGCTGCAGGGCGCGGGGGCGGGGGGGGGGGCTATAAATGGACCGAGGCCGCCAGCCAAGGGCTGGGGCGGGGCGGGGCGGGGCGGAGAGCGCCGCACGCAGCCCCGCAAACAAAGGGCTGCGGCGAGGGCCGGGTGCGACCTCTGGGGTCAGCGCGGGCGGGGCGGCCCCAAGCGGCCGGGGTTTCCTACGGGGCCGCAGCCCCGGCCCCCTCGCCGTGCGCGCGCTCGGCCTCCTGCGGAGGGGGCGCCGGCGGGACGGCGGGGCTCGGGAGGGGGAGGCGCTGCGCCCGCCGTAGGCGACGAGGGGAGGAGCGCCACCCGCCCGGCCGTGCGCGCTCCGCCCAGCCCATTTGCGCTGCTCCGGAGGGGGGCGGGTGAGTGGCACCGTGGGGTCAGAAGGACCCTCCAGAGCTGTCCCTCGGGGTGTCCTGGTCCCCGAGTTCATCTGTCATCTGGAGCCGCCGCGTTTAGCAGGGACCCCGGGGACTGCCGCTGGGGACCCCTGATTTACGCGGTGGCTGCAGAACCTTGGCAGGAAGCCAAGGCTGGCGCGACCTCGGCGCCCCGCTGAGCGTACCTGCGGGCTTAGGTCTGCTCCTCAAAGCCTGATAGCATCGGGGTCAAAAGGTGACTCCTAGTGCCACTAAGTCGTGAATCCAGCTGCTTTGCCACCGAGGGGCCCTTCAGGAGGTAAAAGGGCTTGAAAATAAATTGTCACCTCGAGAGGCAGCTTTGCAGCGGGCACTTAGGAGGAGGGGCGTGGGTAAATGGAGCCTGTCTCTTTAAAATCGCTGGGCTGGACAATGAACGCACAGGATGTGGTTTGGCGGCAGGGTTTTTTCCCCTTCAATTTGGGGAATTATCACATGGGGCCTTCTTGAGCTGGTGTGAAGGAGAGGCGGTGTGGGGAGGAGAGATACCGGCTCCGCGCGCACTCACACTCTCTCCGTGCAGTTGATCGGTTTCTTAAACCAAATTAGCCGGGGCTCTCGTTACTATGGTGCGGCCGGGGCTGGCAGATTCCCTGTAATAGCATTTATTAGGTCTATTTGCCTGGAAGCATGCCTTCCCGGCCTGGTACTGCACCGGTGCACGGAGAGTGTGGGAGATGGTATCAAGCATTTGATTACACTTACAACAGGGATTTTTTAAGGGGTGGGGTGCGGGGTGCGGTGGGGAGGCAAAGGGGGAGGTCGCCCTGCCGCCCGTCCCGAGGGCTCGCGGGGCGCCGGCCGCGTGCGCGCTTCCGCAGCCCGGGGAGGGCTGCACAAAAGGCGCCCGGGGCACGGTTCGGGGATCCTCCTCCTCCTGCGGCCGGGCGGGGGGGCGGTGAACTCCCGGCTCCCGCAGCTGTCAGCCGTGGGTGGGGAGGGACGAGGGCGGGCAGGCGGGCGGACAGCCAGGGCGCGGAGTTGGGCAGTCGGAGGGGGGACCGGCAGCACCCGCGGCCGCCCGCTGTTTGCAAACCGCCCTGCTTCAGGGCCGAGGGGTGCAGCACACCGCCGGCCTGTAGGGGCGCCCGGCCTCCGCGCGCCAGGGCCCCCGGCCTCGCGCCAGGGAAGCTCGCAAGTGAAACTATCATCGCCGCCCTGCGGAGCTCGGAGCTCCTGGAAGATGCCGCGTGGAGCCGCTGGGAGCCGCCGCAGCCGCCCGCCGCTGCCCCTACCCTTTCGCTTTCATTAGCAGAGACAAATCTGCTGTCAGGCAGCCAGCTTTCCAATTTACCGATAATGATTCTTGCATGAAAATTGATCGAGGGGCTCTCCGCCGCCGTGCGCTCTGCCTCCCCGCGCTCCTCCTCCTGCTCGGCTCGAGCCCCCGCGAGCTCTTTCTCCTCCCCACCCCCTCCGCCTGAGTCAGTGGTGGGACGCCGGGCGGCGCGACCCCCCCCAAAGAGGGGTGTCGGGGAGGCCCTCGGCCTGCGCCCCCGGCCCGAGATTGTTTGCCACTGCCGCCTCTTATTTACGAGGCGCAGTCGCCCCTCGGTACTTCTTGGCTGTTTGGGTATTAATTTTCTGCTCTCCCCTCTCCCGCGCGCCCCCTCCTCCTCTCCCCGTCCCCCCCCCCCCCCCCCACCCAGTAGCTAAGGGGAAAGGAAAACAAAGCCGATTTCTCCTTGGCAACAAGAGATACCCCCTCCCGCCGCCCCCTTCCTTTTCCCTTCTGGTTCTGAACGTGAAACCCTGTTGGAAACAGGTCTCTTGACCCTCGGCCTTGACATTCAAATGGCTGAATGGAGGAGGAGAGATTGCTACTCGAACGTCTTGGGGGCTGCTTTTTTTTTTTTCTCCCTTCCCACTCTCTCTCCTCTCTCTCTTTCTTTCAAATGAGTAATCCCTGAAGATCTTAACCCCCCAATTTCATCACCCTCACCTCCCCCTTTTATTTTTCTCTCGCTCCTCTGGCTCTCCCGCCCGCTTCCCTCCACCAGCTCCCCCTCCTTTTTTTATTTGCATCTCAAGTCCAAAAGGCAGAAAATACACACGCGGCGAGGACACCCGGGCGGCCGCGGAGGCTGCAGCCCGTCCTCGGTCACCGGGCACCTCCTCTTGATCTGCTGGGGCCGAAGTGACCGGAAAAAGCCTTGTGATCGTCGTGGGGGTGAAAAAACAGGGACTGATTTTTTTCCGTCGCTTTCAGGGTCGCTCTCCTGCCTTTATTTTATTGTTTTGGACGTTTCTGAGCGCCGTGGCGTGGACGGTGCTTTTGGGTTCGCTGCCGGGTTTTCGTATTTTTCATCCCCTCCGGAACCCTCTCTGGCCACTATGGAATTCTAACCTGAATCATGTTTGGATTGAAGCCGCCGCTGTATTACTTACCAGGTAAGCGAGCCGCGCGTCTCCCGGTCCCGCGCGGCATCGGCACCCCCCTCCCGCCCCCGGCCAAACCGCGGTTCTGCGGCGGGGCTGTGCGCGGCCAGGCCCGGGGTGCGCGCTGCGTGCGCGGGGAGCCCGCCTGGTGCGCGTCTCCCTCCTTTTGTCTGCCCGGAGCCGGCTGCGCGGTGCGGCGGGCGCGGAGAGAGGGCCGAGCTCTGAGCCTCGGGGCGCGTTGGCGCCCGGTGTGAAGTTACTTCGCCGCAGCCGGCGGGGTCGGGTGCGGCCCCCCAGCCCCGGCGCCTCCCTCCCAGCGCGGCCCCCGCCCCTCCTGCGGGATTCCCTGGAAGGTTTTGTTCCGCCGCGGCCGCGGAGGGTCGGCTCGCAGGACACCGGGCGGCTTCCTGTTTCCTCCGCCTCCCGCGCGCTGACAGCAGCTGCCCTGCAACTTTCTGTTTCGGGCCAGGCGCGCCTGCAGCCCAGAGGGGACGCGCGGGGCCAGGCGGCCGGGGGCCCCTCCTGAGTTCGCCTTGTTTGTACCTCGAGACCGTGAAAATACTCCAATGCAGGCTCCAGGGGCGCTGGGGAGCCAGGGCTGCCCGGAGGGAGGGGAACCTGGCGCAAACCCAGTCTTCCCCTCCTGGGCCCCCTGGGTCCGAGTAACTCGGGGCGCCCAGGTGCTGCCACGTAACCGCAGGTCGTGAGGGCTGCTGGGCGTGTGGCCGCTTGCTGTAGGAATGAGCCGTGTTTTTATTTCCCTCCCCGTCTTTGAGCCCTGACATGCAGGTCCTATTGAAGTTGGATGTCCGCGGGGTGCCGGCATGTTGGGGTGCTTCGAGGAGGCATGGGGAAGTTCCTGGTGGCCTCTAGTTCTGCGGAGGGGCTGCCTAGGGGCTCCTGCTTGTGTTTCTGAATTGTTTTGCTGAGGGAAGGTGCACGTGGCCAGGGTTGGGATTTGCGTTTTTTTCCTGTTGTCTGAGAAGACCCTGTCACTTTACCAGGCGCCCACCGCCCAGGAGTCCCGTGAGGAGGTGAGGGGCGGGAGCCCTGGCTGCCCGCGTGCAGGGTAGATCCAGGGTGGCCGCTGTCTCGGAGTTAATAGAGCGGGGTGAAGGGACACTGGGGAGTCCGGTGGGGGAGACTTGGGGGGCATCTGAACCGCTGCTGTTTGAGTTTCTTTGTGGCCCTGTTAGTTTTTAGACCTTCCCTGTCACTGGCGGGTCTGTGTTTCCTGCTGGTTTCTACCTGTTTATGGGAAGAGTGTTTCCCGGGTTCTCCATTTTAGTCTCTCCTTTTCCTCCTCCACTGGCTCAAATGCAAATCAGCGACCTCCAGGCCTCTCCCCCGCCTTCCACTTCCCTTAACGGATCCAGCCAAAATTAGACCTGGGAATCCCCGCTTCCAAGAGGGCAGTCTTCTGCAGGCGGGTGCAGCCTTCTGAGCCTCCCCACCCGGAGGAGGCCTGCGGCATCCACCCTGGGCCCTAGCCCTCCGTGCCCCTCCCCCAGGTGGCGGGACCCCGGGCAGTGTTCTTTCCACTGTGTGTGTACAGTGCCTCCCCCAGCACCTTGAAGAGGCTCAAGAGGGCTCTCAGCTGGGGGCGGATCTTCCTAGGTCCAGGGCTCCTAGAAACCCAGGTGTTTGTCCTCCACAGCCCACTCCCCCTGCCATTGGGTGGCTGCTGGCGCATATTTATTCGTCAGGGAGCCTCAGAAAGAGGAGGAGGAGGAGGAGAAAGTGTCAGGCGAGGAAATTCAAGGCAGTTAAGGAAAATCAGCCCCAGCACGGCCAGGGCACAGGTCACAGCCTGCCAATGATTTCCCTCTAACCTTTGTTTTCTTTTTAAAGACCTGTTCTGGGGTTTGACACCATGGTGTACTCTTCTGGCTGCAGGCCACTGCTTCCCTGGGTGAGGTCCAGCTCCTCCTAGTCTCAGGAGTGCCAGCAGCAGCAGTGCCCTGGCCCCTGAGCTACAGGTGCCGCGCAGCTCACTTCCCCCGAGATAGATGCTGGCGTCCACCTGCTCGTAGGTGGCGGCGTGAGGCCGGGGGGGCCTGGTGAGCGCCCCCTGGAAGTGCAGAGCTGCGAGGGGTGCTGGCTGCTGCTCCCCGCGCCCTACAGGGAACAAGCCCTGGCTGCTGAAAGCCAGACGCCCCGCTTCTCCCGGCCCCTGAGCCCTGGAACCTGTCCCTGAAGCTGGGTCCTGTACAAATGTCTGCACCCTCTAGGAGCCAGGGCCTGCAACCTACCAGTTTCCAGGGGCAGCTCATGCTCAGGTTGGCCTCAGCACCAGCTCCTGCTCAGGGTGAGAGGACCGTGCTGGGTGAAGGGTCTGAAGCCCTCTTCTGCCTCTTCTGAGCTGTGAGCTTGGCAGCAGACAGAGCAAAACAAGTTCCTAATGTGTCTCCCTCAGCATCAGTGTGGGCAGGGGGCACCCATCCGAGGCCCTTTGTAAATAAAGTTTTATTGGCACCCAGCCACGCCTCTGCTTTTATGTCTTGTCTCTGGTAGCTTTCACACTGCAGTGGCAAAGTTGAGTGGTTGCAACAGAAGCCAAATGGGCTGGCCAAGGGGGAAGTGGGGCCGTTTGATCCTCTGAGGAAGGCCGCCCACTCTGGTCCGGGGGTTGAGGAGCCTGCTGAAGCCAGTGTTTAATGAGGAATAGCTTCAGTGATTGTTACAGTGTTGTAGTCACCACAGGTGTTGAGGTGGAATTGTCTGTCCAAAGTCACAAAGCTTCTGAGCCGTTGAGCTGGGGCTGAAACTTGGGTCTGTGACCTGGGCCAGCCCCTGGTGTGGCCTGTGTCCTGCTGAGGCCCAGCGTGGTGCTCTGAATGCAGAGGGAGCCGGCACAGGCCCGGGCCCCAGGAGAACTGGGGGGCAGCTGGGGCTGGATGGGCAGGTGTGTGTGTCCTCCACCCTTCTGCCCAGGCCTTTGGGGTGTCCAGGCGAGGGGTCCCCCCCTGAAGGTGTCCTTCATGCACGTGCACCTGGGCACCCTTCCTGAGCTCCAGGAGACTTTGAGCTCCGTGCAGGTGGAGACTGAGTGTCTCCTTCATGCCGGGCAGAGTGCCAGGCTGATGATGACAGTCATAAAAACTTAATAATAATTAGCAGGGAGAAGCCCGGCCATGCCTTTTTTTGGAGGTGGAGGATGATTTCAGACAGGATCTCACTGTGTAGTTCGGGTAGTCCAGGCTGGCCCTGAACTCACTGTGTAGCCCGGGCTGACCTTGAACTCATGGTGATCCTCTGTCAGCCTCCCTAGTGCTGGGATGACAGGCGTCGCCTCCATGCCTGGCTAGGGGTGCTTTTTGTTTGTTTGTTTGTCTTTTGGTACCGGGGATAGAACTGGGGTCCTTAGCTTTCGAGGCAGGCGGTGGAACCACTGAGCTAAATCCCCGGCCCTAGGGCTGCTTTTTAAAGTGTGTCCATTCTGTGCCAGACATGGTACTGATTTAGCCTTTAGAGGAAGTCAGGCTGCTCTTGTTACACTTGACAGCTGAGGAAACTGAGTCACCAAGTGGTCTCGGTCACAAAAGCAGCAAGTGGCCGCTGTGCTCTGAGCCGGGCAGTCTGGCTCCACAGTCCCTGTTTAATAAATATTTGCTGAACGTGTTGGGAGGGGACTGGCCACGGGTCCTTATCTTGTTCCCAGCATTCCAGGAGGGCTGACCCCAGCTTCTGGCCGCATCCTGGCCCGTGCTGACCTCTGGGTGACTCCCGGCTCCTCTCTCTGTCTCCTGCAGGAAGGATGCTCCAGGTGCCCTGTGAGGAAACTGAGGCCCTCGGCCGGGTTGGCCCCAGCCCTGCAACCCTCTCCTCATTTTTTTTTTGTACCGGGGATCGAACTCCGGTCCTTAGCTTTCGAGGCAGGCGTTGAAACCACTGAGCTAAATCCCCGACCCTCCCTCCCCCATTTTTAGCAGTGCTAAGGGTGGAACCCAGGGCCGGGCACACTAAGACTACCCCCGGCACCTGACTGGAGCTTTTCGCTGTCCTCTGAGGCCACAGTGAGCTCTTGAAAGCTGGTCAGGCCTGGCCTGTTCCCTCTCTAACTAGCCTTGGAGGGGTTGGAGTTAGTAAGAAACTGGGGCTTTACCAGGTATGGTGGTGCACCCCTGTAATCCCAGCACCTGGGAGGCTGAAGCAGGAGGATTTCCATGAGTCCAAGGCCACCATGCACTGCATAGTGAGACCCTGTCTCAAAAACACAAAAGAAAAAAAAGCCTGGGGCTTCCTTTCCCCAGGGTTGGGGTACTTGACAAAGTGAAGTGAGGCCCAGGTGGCCCAGAGGAAGCCCAGATGGCTTCCGGAAGGGCCTGGTTCAGCAAGGTTGGAGCTCTGCTCAGGCCCTTGGGGTTGGGGGGCATCTGGAGGGGGAGCTCCTGTAAGGCTGGGGCGGGGGGTGCCTGCAGTTCCCAGCCGAGACACCTCCTGCCTAGTGTATGGCTGTCCCGGGAAGCTGCCAGGTCAGAAGCCAGCCAAGGCTTAGGGGGCGACCCGAACCCCCCCAGACCCGCTCTGGGGCCGTGTGGGCTCCAGGGACCGCGTCGGATAACAGGAAAACGCTGCTGTGTGCACTGTGACCAAGAAAGCTGCTTATTTACAGCCCAGAAACCCAGCGGGGACAGCAGCCGCCATCCAGCACTTCCAGGCAGGCACTAATTAATCTCGATGCCCCCAAGACAGATGCAGGGAGGAGCTGCTATGTCCATCTGCACCCCCACCTGGGGCCAGCCAGCCCCTGTCCCCAGCGTGCGCCCCCCCCCCCCCACTGGTCCCCACCCCTGCTCAGTGTGGTTCCCAGTGAGGTTTCTCCCAGTCCTGGGTGAAGTCCATCCCCGATCCCAGCCTGGGAAGATGCTGGGCTGGGTGTTCTTTATGCTCCTGGAGGACATGGCCGTGGTGAGACCTGGGCTGGCCCTGGCATGGGGGGACCACGTCTTTCTCCCTGCAGGAGGGGGTGTGGTGGGAGGGCTCCTGGACAGCCCGAGGGGCCCGAGCCCCACTGTGCCCACTGCTCCATGACACCTGCCACCTTTCCCAGGCGTGGACACGGGCGCCGGGCTGCCTTGTAGTGTCAAGTGCCATGGAGTCCTCTGGTCCACCCTGGCGTTGTACGGCCAATGAAGCAGGCCAGGAGCACTGCAGGGCCGGTTGCCTCCTAGCTCTTCTCCTCCTGTGCCCCATCTTCAGCTTTCAGCCAGGAGTGGTGGCGCACAGTGTAATTCCTGCACTCTGGGAGGCTGAGACAGGAGGATCTTGAGTTCAATCCTGGGCAGCTTACTGACTTAGTGAGACCCTGTCTCAAAATTAAAAATATGGAAGGACTGGGGATTCAGGTCACCAGGAAGGGTCTGGGTTCCATCCCTAACCACCCCTCCCCCAAAGACTCTCAGCCAGGCGTGGTGGTGCATGCCTGTAATCCCAGCACTTGGGAGGCTGAGACAGGAGAATCGCCACAAGTTCAAGGGCAGCCTGAACTACATAGTGAGACCTTGTCTCAAAAAAACAAACCAAAAAAGACTCTCAGAAAGTAGTAGACTTGCAGAGGAAAAAGACTTTCATAAGTCTTAAGGTGGCTTTTTTGATTTTTGAGACAAGATCTTGCTGTGTGGTCCAGGCTGGCCTTGAACTTGGAGTCCTCCTGCCTCAGCCTCCTGAGTAGCTGAGACTGCAGGCCTGCTGGAAGTGGCCTTTTTAAGAGGGATGGCTGACCCTTCAGAGGGGCGGTGTCCTCCTCCTCAGAACCTACTGTCCTTGGTGGTCTCTCTCCCAGGCAATCAGCAGAAGTGAGAAGCCACAGGGGCTCCTTAGAAGGGAAGAGGGGATTTGGGGGAGAAGGAATAAAAATAGATGTGGTGTTCTTTTCCTTTTTTTTTTAAAGAGCTCCATATAGATTTAAAGTCCTTTTGTTAATTTAGGAACATAAAACTGTGTGATGTATAGCTTGGTTCGCTCGTAAAATTACTAAGTGTGGCATATTTAGAGCTGAGAAAGCTTGGGGTAAAAGGGAAAAAAGCAGCGAGCATTTTTTATAAGTCTTTAGGGGGAAATGGATTTTTCCGCTTTCCCCGCCGATGCCAGGCCCACCCTCCACAGCTCAGCCAGGCCTGGCGGTTGTGTCGGCCCAGGTGAGCTGTGGTGGGGTCCGGGGTGGGGGGTCCTGGGGGCCCTGCCCTCCCTTCCCCCACGTCCCTGGCCTCAGTGAGAAGGAAGAGCTCTGGCCTGAGTGCCTGGACACCTGCACTGGGCATTCCGGGCTCCATCTGCAGGGCCTGTGGGACCGGAAGCCCCAGACTTGGGAGGGGCCCTGGAGGTCACAACCAGCCCCTCCCCTTCTCTGGGTGTGGTGAGCCCTTGGGTCCACTTCCGGGCAGCCCTGTCACCAGGTCCTCAGGCACTTGACCTAGTTCTGCCGTCTGGGGACACAGAGCAAGTCTGACCCCCAGCCCCGGTGGTAGCATCATTCCAGGCTCCCCTGGAGCTGGGCAGGGCCTGCCCCGAGCAGCAAAGTGTGCACTTTGGCCTCAGGCAGCTTCCCTGGGGACTCCTGCAGCACCCAGCAGAGGAAATCTAGGAGGGCTCCCTGGAGGAGGTGGCTCTGCTGGCTGGCTTGGGAAGTGTGGTGCTCGGGGCTGGAGGCTTCGTGGATGTCCCACCCAGAACGGTGGGTTGAGGTACTGGGGTGCCGAGCTGTGGCTGAGGTGGGTCCAGGGCAGCTGCAGATGCCAAGGCACATGTGGGGTTCTCTGGGTGTTCGGAGGGGGCAGCGACTTGGTTGGAGGTGGGGAGGTTTCCCCCCAGTCCCCAGGGAGAGGCAGCCTCAGCTGGAGTCCACACCCCACCTGTCCCTCGTGGCTCCATCTGGTCTGCAGGGCTGAGGCTCCCCTAGGGGGTCTGACCTCGGAGCACCTTGCGGATGCCCAGGCCTGGGACGGGCAGCCTTGCAGAGTGGGGGTCCCTGTGTGCAGGGAGCACCCTCTGAGCGGGACCCCAGGGGTCTCCGGGGAGACCAGGCCGGCCCAGCTCCTGGGCAGCAGCCCCCCACCCCCAGCCCCACTGTCCGTGGCAGAAGTGAGCTCCCAGGGGCCAGGTGAGGGGAAGCAGGGTTTGTCCAGGGTGAAGCTCACAAGGGTCCCATCTGCAGGATCTGAGGGTTTCATAGCCGTGACCTGGTGTCAGTGGGCCCGGGTGGGTGCATCTACTTGACACATTTCCCACGTGCCAGGCATGGCCCGGGCCCAAGGACACAGCCAGGAAGGCCCAAAACCTGTGGCCTAGTGCTGAGGCTTCCCATGCTGCAAGCCCTGGAGTGAATGGAGATGTTTCGGGAAGCTGTTTCTACGGGGGAAGTCAGAGCCAGAAAAGGGAGGTGTTAGCCCTGGGGAGGTCTGGGGAAAGGAGAGGGTCAAGCTTGTGCAAAGGTCCTGAGGCCTGGAGTATATGCACACATGTGTGCTGGTCCTGGCC